AGTAATAAGATATTTCCTATTAGCATTTGAGGATATTTTGTTTGAACATTTAAGGCATAGAAAAATACAACAAGGAAGGCCAGTCTTTCCAACTGATACGTAACTACATGCATTTTTATGGGGGCCTTGCCCTCCTCAATCCTCCAACAGGCGCTCCAGCGCCAAAGCCTTTCTTCAACTTGATGCTAGGACTATCATCCCCTTTGTCTTGCTTGAGCCTACCATAATCATATACCGATCCTTGCTTGCAACCATAGGCACAGCCGTAGATCACTACTAGTAAAGCATCAGTCACAATAATTGACTCCAGCGAAGCGCAAATGAAGCATTGTATAACCTGTCGGCCTCACTTCTATTTGAAAGGTGAACCTGCGCGTCAACTGGACATCAACAGTTGGATTTTGTGCTGTCGTAAGGCCTAATAGCCTAGCTAGCCTGCTACCCTTCGATTGCTCTGAGGAGCGCATACGCGGAAGTTAGCTCGAAAAGTTCCTCTTGTGGTATAGCGTACGAGTAGATAAAAGGCCATTGTACTACAACGCGGTTAGAATCTAGATCGGGATCGACCGGAGAGGCAAGCAACTAACGGCAATAGTCAATACGCGCAAGGTATCAGGCTACAGCTTGCTGATTTACCCCGGCGGGCCGTGCTCCAGGGACTCCTCAATGTGCCATGTACTTTTCGTTCCGCGCTGCCGATGGAATGAGGAGAGCGAAGTCGGAAATCCATGGATTCGTAAMCGCAACAGCGCGTCTACAGAGGCCCCACTCTCCTGTCATTATCCCCTTTTAGAATTTAAAGGATACCGATGAAGTCTTGGTTGCTAACGGCCTTCAATGCCTCCCTTGTTTGTATCTGGCTAGTTCGAGGGTAGATACATCAGCTCCCTGAGTACAGGAGACGCAAGAAGAGCGCCAACAATGCATTGTTACTGTCATGTTCTTATCTTTCTTTCCAGATCACGAGGCCAATCTGTCAAGGCTTGAACGAACGGTGCAGAGCTTGGTAGACAATGCAAAAACTGGAAGATATTGCAGTAACCTTTTCAATGGAAGATTCTGGTGCTGAGTGCTACGAATGCTCACGTAAATCCAAACGGATATTGGTAAACACTGGCTTCTTCATGTCATGTGCAAACCCCCCCGGCACATGTTGGATGTGTCGCTGGGCACTGTGTAAAATAACAGATCAACTGCCTGCTACAATGTAGTAGGAAAGGAGAGAAAGTCAACATACCACATTACCACATACTCCACAGTTATGACGACTTGATTGAGTGGAAACACAAACTCCAGCACAGCATGCAAGTGCATTATTCAGACACTAACGTGACGCCTAGCATTAGCCTAGCATTATGAGAAACCGAAAGCAACAGCTCGGAACAGAAAAGAAAATTAACTTACACATGTCCCATTACAGGGAGGCAGCCCAGTGTCAGTGCAAACGCAACGACCATTATCGCAGGCTGAGGAAGGGGGGCACTGTTAGGGGTTATTGGATTAGCATCTCCCCTAGCGCAATAGAAAGTTGTAGCAAGCTTACTTTTATATTGCATGTTCCACAGTGATTTGGATCAGAGTTCAGGTCAAAACAGGCATTATTACAGCAGCTTTGACCATCTATGCATTGCTGAATAGCGAAGAGAATCAGCCACAAACAGTATGATAATGGAGGATAATGGGAGTCCGACTTACGCATTGCCCGTTACATGGAGGCTGGTTGTTAGCAACGCAGATACAACCGCTATCGCCGCATATAGAACCAGCCGGGCACTAGGGACATCCAGTATCAGCTACTTGTATGCTTATAGGCTATACACTGACCATGGTGACATGAGATCACCAGCCTGACTTACACATTGCCCATTACAGGGAAGCTCCTCGCTAGCTGTGCAGATACATGCACCATTACTGCAAGTGGCCCTAGCTGGACACTGTAGAGTAGAACGGGGTTATTTATATATCTTGAATGCAGGTTAATCATCAGGTTGAACTTACAATATTTCCGCACGTTCCACAGTTATTATTGTCTGAACTGAAATCCGGGCAGACTCCATGACAGAGAGGTTGTCCACTGTTGCTGCATATACAAGAACCAGAACTGCATATTGAGCCAGTTGGGCACTAAATGATAGTGAGTTAGACATTCTCCTTTTTTATCAAACGTACCTTGACACATCGAACTTACAATTTTGCCACAGGTTCCACAGTTGTTAGAGTCAGAGCCTGTACTAGTGCAGACTCCATTACAGAGGACTTGCCCACTGCTGCAGCTACAATTGCCGGAATTGCAAGTCGTACCAGCCGGACACTGTAACGGTATAGAGTCAATCATCCACCATAAGCTAATTCATTCAGTAGGGTAGCTTACAACATTGCCACATACTCCACAATTATTAGGGTCAGAGCTCAAGTTTGGGCACTGCCCATGGCAGAGTGGTTGCCCACTGTTGCTGCAGACACAGGTCCCAGAATTGCAAGTTGAGCCTGAGGGACACTGTCGAGTAGACATAAATGTCATCTATTATACCATGATAGGCAGGCGTAGCGTAACTTACCACCTGGCCACATGCACCACAATTAGGGTTGGTGCTTAGGCTCGAGCAAGAACCGGCACAGCAGACTTGGCCCGCCGCACACTAGTAGTGTAAAATTAGCTGCAATGCGACAGTGCAGCCGAGGGGGTCGACTTACCTTATTTCCACAAGTCCCACAGTTTAGACGATCTGTTTGTATGTTACTACAGGCTCCGTTGCAGCAGGCAAGGTTATCGCCGGAACACTATTAGCATAAAATCAGTCTCTCTCGGGATATCAAGTGGATATAATAGCTTACACATAGTCCACTGCAGAGCGACAGTCCTGTGCTAGCGCAGATACAAGCGTTATTAATGCAGGTCGAGCCAGATGGGCACTATTAAATGTCAACGACCGTCGGTGCTAGTATAGAGAGGGGATGGCATTAGACGGACGTACAATGGCACCGCATGTTCCACAGTTATTGTTGGTATTCAGGGAAGTACAGACTCCATTACAACAGCTCTGGCCTGCTGCGCACTGTGGCATAGAAACAGTCATTCAAACCACACTAATGGTAACAGGGCGCCTAACTAGTAGGTTGACTTACACATATTCCGTTACAATAGAGAGATCCAGTACCATTGCACACGCAAGCCCCTCCAACGCAAGTTGTAGTGGATGGACACTAGCATGTATCATAAGGTCAGTGATTCACTTAAAACTGAATGTCAATTTCTGTAGGCTAACGTACACATTGGCCATTACAGGGCGGCTGTTTAGTAGCAATACAGATGCAAGCACCGTTATTACATATCGATCCAGATGGGCACTATGGCATGACGACATAGGATCAGTCCCTCTGTTGAACGATTCATGAAGAGGAAAGAGGCGATTTTACAATATTACCGCATGACCCGCAGTTCTGGCTGTCGTTGGTCAGTGACTTGCAAGTTCCATTACAACATGTAAAACCGGATGAACACTATAGAGATATCAGCTTCATAACATGTAAGCAAATGGAAAGATAACCTACGCCAGGGGAACATGATTGAGCCAGTGCGATTGCTATAATAGCAAATTAGTCAGTTTCAAGAGCTTCGTAGGGTAGGATACATGTAAGTCGACGACTCACCACAGATAGAGATAATGAGGAGGAATAATCTAGCCATCCTGAATGTGGTCGTCTGCCAACGAGTACTGTCGAATATCAGTTAGTTATTAGAAATGCTTCATAGAGTGTGCCATCGTTTTCCTTTTATGGCTTCGGACGTTAGACATCTGTTGAGCATGCAGAATCTCTTCAAGATTTTCAGAATTGGGTGGATATCGCATTTAAATCTGCCTAGCTTCCGGAGCCCAAGGAAAGACACGCGAGACGTTTCGAAAGACAGTATATTAGAGGACAGGAGCAGCCATACCACCATTCCCCTCTGCCTCGCTATCATTCCTTTGAGCTTAACCAGCCAATTAAATGCAGCTTAGCATAATACCTAGGCCGTTTTATGTGTCTGCGTTAACTTTGGTGCCAATATTCATCATGATGAAAAACTATTCTCGCAGATTGGAATGCAGATTGCGGAGCCCATTATTGCCACAACCAGGATTACGCTCCCCATGATTCCAATCAAAGTTCACTCTGGAGTTCCCCACCCACAGCTAGATAGCATGGACAGCTGCTGATCATCACACAAAGTTTTGAAGAGGGTGGCATAGAAAAATCTGTACTTCCAGAGTGGGTCTGCCAAACGCTTGATATTGAATATAGAATTCCCGAACAATGACATAAGGTGGCCTGAGACACGTACGAGCTTCTCAGCGCCTAGAAGCAGTTGGTATGTTGCCCCTTCGCTAAGGCCACAAGGGGTGGACTGTCAAAGACCGGATTGTCCATCCCTCGGTGAAAAAATGGGGATTAAGGCAAATCACACATATGCAAGGGAATTGCTGAAGTACGTCTAGGGCGTAGATCGGGAGGTCGACCTAACCTCTTTGATAACCATGTATTATTGCTTCTTTCATATTCATGTCATGGAAGGTACAATTAGCAACTATGGAGGTAGTCACAACGTCACTATCGTGGCATCAGACACGGACATCTAGACTGTGAAAGAAAACGCCTTGAGAAGTGTATGTGCAACAGTCCCCTAAGTAGAGGTCTGCAGACTTTCTTAAACTAAGTCGCATATGTATTTGATATGATATATTGCGGGGATGAAAGCAATGAATGTTCTTGATTTTCCTATTACTATCTGTTTTAGAACTCTCAAAGACCCTAGAAGTAGGTCCCTGTATATGAATCCACGGTTCAGATTTTGGCAACTCTTTAGGCGGCGAATGCGAAGATGACGTAGGATAGGAAAAGCTGGCAGCTGATGTAAAGACGTCGTGTCGAGCAGGTTTAATAGCACACAGGTCGTATAGCAGCTTCCTCAAACACCATAGTTATTCCACTTTGAGCGATCCACCACTGCGTTCACCCCGCTACTGAATACCCCTCAGCAAACCACCCACAACTGTACCAATGCTGCTAAGGACTGAATTGACGGCTGAGTCGGCGGTAACTGCATTTGCAGCGCTGGGACCAAGGTCTGCACAATTCTAGACATCGGCGTCAATATAATGCTGTCTTTTAGCTTAGTAGGCGTGGAACTTACGGAGGTACCATCGTCGAAGTTAAATGTGCAGCAGACCTTATCCGTAAAGCCCGAATCGAAATTAGGACAAGTGCCTGATTCAGTCAAGAGGTCACACCACCAAGTTGGATTTGGTTTGTCCGGGGGACAGCAAAAGCAGATTTTCGGAAGCTGAGGTTCGCCACCAGGACGATTTGTGCCACTGTCATGGAGGTGGCCGCCGTTGTTGGACTTCCCAGGCTCTCCGCGTGGGTCTTCTTGGGAGACAGGCAGATTGGCCTCACTCCGAGGGGCAGCAGCGATGCCTGCAATGAAACCTAAGAGGGATATGAGAGTAGCTGATCGCATTTTCAAATAGCACATGCTTGAGAAGTGTAGGTGGTGAGAGGAAACGGCGCAGTGCGTTCAATTACTACAGATAGCAAACTCAAGTAAGATGATAGTAACCCGCTGCGCGCCTCAAATGATTGATAACTGGAAGACAAGAGTCGGCTTGGGAAGCAAAGATTTTATCTCCAATTCTCCTACGGTGAAACATGATCTCCCAATGCAGTACTCTTCATAACTTCAGGATGAAAATATAATGGGTGCAAGATTTACCACTCTGAATAATGTTGACTAAAAACACTAGTCTGTCATTACTGGGGCAAGGTTTACCACTCTGAATAATGTTGACTAAAAGGACTTGTCTTTCATTACTGGTGCAGTGGTCATATTTATATATGTGGCTCTTTCCGCTTTCGTTCACATACCGAATTTTGTCTTTGTATATCTAGGGTGACGTAATAGGTGAACGTAGTCATGTTTCATGGTTCCATCTCTTTATCATTCTTATATCTGGGGCTATTTCAAACTTATAGTAGGATACCTTCAAAGGTGTTGATCTCTGTCTGTCTATATACATTATACTAAAGGAAGATAACGGCTTCAAAGTAGAAACCTGTTTGGGCCGTAGACGAAATTCAGTTTGTTGTACACGTTCATCCATTTTGAGTATCTTCCCCCAGGAATAAGCGGCAGCAGACCCAGTAAACTACCTTCATCTCTGCGAGATCTCGAAGGCTCTCGTGGATTAACAATTAGTCCCTTCTTCGCGAACCGGGGTATTAGACAGACCTCTGGATATACCTGGCCAGTGTTGTGAACAAGGATCTAAGCCCCACAAACCATTGCCGAGCCGCAGTCTGTTGGAGCTGGACAACAGCAAACGCAGCAAACCCCTGGTCTTCTCTAATCCAAGCAGCAGTGTCTAATTTATGAAAGCGTGCGGAGTCTTTCAAATGAAGGCATTACGAGAACACAGAGCATTGAAATAGCCTGCAGCGCACTGTACATGATACCACTCTCATCATTGGCTCCACAGGTGTACGCTTTAAATCGAGCTACCTGTGTGATCTACTACAGCTGTATACGAATCAGTCTCCAATCAGCAATATTTCAAGCAAGACTATATAAGAAGACCCAAATGCAGCACCAGTGTTTGGATTGCTCGGCCTTGCTTCAGATTATGGCCCCAACCAGCTGATACACATCTAGTAACCCTAGCAAATGCGGCCGAATTCGCGCGCGACACTGCCTGCAAGAACACTTCCATGCTTGGGCTGCATCAAATAAGAACAGCGACCTGTCTATCATGTTCCCATGAAGCTTTTCTCTTTCTAATTCCTACCTCTTCCGCTTGTCAATATTGATCAAAAGGATCCTAAAGGGAATACTCCCATCATCATGTACCACCTTCTATTCCTGCTCTTTGACCCAGCCGCACTCATTAGGAAGCGGCAACCGGCAAAGCCTATGCTCTGGCATCCAAAGGCGTGTGGCGGCGGGTGGTCTCTACGCGATCTGGATCTCTGCGCTGCGGGAAAGGCGGCAGCCAAAAGGTAGGAGTTGGGGACGCATCCACTGTGCAAGGCTTGCGGCTTATCCGCGGATGTTAAGGACGAGGCACAAGTGAACGCCGTCATAAAAGCATGATCAGGGAGTCAGGGTGGATACATAGCCTTTCCGCATCCACCTGGGCTAACCATGCCCACGTGGCTGGCAACGTCAGCTTACTGATTACGGCTTATCCACACTGTTCGAGCGGAATGAAGGCCAAGCAGAGCTCTCCTCTGACCCGTCACACTGATCATTACTATCGTGAGGATACACGATACCCGAATCATGCAGACTTTTAAGAAATTAGTATTTTGAACAAGGTTCCCACAACTCCGAAATTATGAACGTGGCCCAGTATTCCAGTGTTTCGTGGCTCACCCAAGGTCCGGAATTAAACCCCAATGGGTTTTCAGATCTGAATACATTGGGTTTCATGAATTATGATCTGGCGTCCATCTTGTGTATAAAATTACTGGGATGTTACATTGCTGGCGTGAAATCGATAGCAAGCATCCAGCGTTTCACGCGAGGCGAAAATTACAACTTTGGACCCTTAGATGCAAAGGCCCATCTCATCGATTCAGGATAATACTCTCCAATACGAGCAAAAGCGAGCATTTTGATTGTGGAGAGATATTTTGAATGCGTACAGGAATCAGGCCCTTTGTGGGGCATTGCAGAAATGGAACTCACCCACTACATAGAGTTGACCTCGCAATAGAATGCACTTCTGCATGTGATGCTTCACTGTCGCCGCCGCAGTGGATTTTCGTCAGGAGAGCAAGCCATTTATACATACTGAGTCCGAGAAGGCAGTGTGCTCACTTCAGATTGTTGTACGGGAAATTTTTCATCCTTGAATTGAACATGAGAAGCGAATGATCCTTATACTAAACTAAAACTACTACTAATTAATGAATTCGGCCGAAAAAGATGCCATAGGTGCTCTCCGATAAGCATGAATCACTTCCACCTCCAGAGCCATTCGGCTCTTGAATGATAATTGGGATCCATATTCTGCACAAGTTGCACATCATGGTGTTTTCCCGCAAGGTTATGACACCATTGAACTCGAATGGTATTCCCTAAACTAGTTGAATACGCCTGCCATCAGCATTCTGCACAAAGTCCGACATATCGGATAAAGCTTACTTAGAGATTGACGTTGAGCAAAGATGGCACCAAGCTCAGGACCTGTTGAACGAGACCATGAGTAGCTGTAGCACCGCTCGGGTCAGAGCAGCCCTCCTAGCATGATACTTAGCACTCGGTGTAGCGGTTAGTGGATATTGATTGGAACTTCACCAAGACACCACAGCTAACAGGGCAGGTGAATTTGACATCACTAGCCGCACAATTCTGGATGGGCGAATTATAGGCAACGCAAGTAGGGGTACCGCCGCCAATTCCGGTTCCGGTGATGCCAGTCAACCCTTGAGGTGCGACAAAATTACCACTGCAACAAAGAGTAATTGCACTCACCGTGCCGAAGGGCAGAGACACAATGCTGAACCATAGCCTTCTTTTTGAGGTGCAGCCAAGCCAGCTGCAGTGAAGCTGAGGACGGTGGCAATAGTGCAGGAAATAATTGAAATTTGACGGAAGGTTCTTGCTTGATGAATTTGTTTGCTGTTCGAGTCTTTGAGTTGCTTCTGAATTGGATGAAGATATTTGATTGATGAGTAAGTAACAGAGCTATGAAAGGACACTACAGGTTTATATATCCTTTAGCTGCCCCTACGCCTTGTCAATAAAGATTCAATGAATGCATAGGGAGGTCAGGAATTAATAGCTACCTGTACGAGGGCAATCCCTTTGCTACGGTCACCTCCAGTAATGATCCTGTGATTTCATACAATAACTGTTAGTTCTCCCCGTGTAAGGCCTCCTATGTCTACTACTGTTTCAGTCTTAACATTGCAATATCCACCTCCAAGTATGGGACGAGGTGTCCCCATATCGATGCCGTACCAGATGGTGACAATTAGCCGAAGAGAAACATTACTGAATTGCTTGGGTCATCTAGAGATATATGCTGTATACGCATTGCTTTGTAGATGCTCTATCTTCATCAGCATCCAAGGCCATCTCTAGGCATGATCATGGTCCCTGGATCTATTTCAGAAATATTATCATCATTGTCTGCATATTTGCTCAGATCATCTTCAACCATGGGGATGGGAAGTATGGTTTACTAAAAAGCCAAGGACAACAACTATTAGGAGCTCCATATGGAGATCACAGGGCTGCCAGTATGTGAAAATGCTTCAATTGCACCTTTGGGAGAAGATGACAGTCTCAAAGGTAAATATTAGTCTCAGGTTTAAGGAAGCTTTGTTTGATCTCCGCAAGGCATCTGGGGATATGCTAACCTACAAACGCAGGCAACTATATGAACATATTGTCGGCAAAGGGTTCAGACAGCTGCAAATAAAGACTGTATTTGATTAATCATACTGTAAAGTCAACATCAATCCATAACAGGTCATAAATGCATTAAAAAGTAAACTACATTCGCCAGGGCGGCAAGTAGTTTAGAATATGCCCAGGCCTACAGCCAAGTCCTTTCCAAGTACAGACTGCTCCAAGTCACTTCTGCATTGCTTGTTATTTTCGGAATGAAGACATGTTCATACTATGAATCGAGGTTTTCGTGTCAAAGAACGTGGGTCGGGGCTACCCAGCCTCTATAGTCCACAATCGGAAATATAAGTGCAACCCACCCGAAGTGAAAGTAATGGTTATGCGACAGGAAATGTAGAGAATTCACGCGGACGTGGAGTATTCTCTTGGAGCTATGGCAATTAGAAGGTATGAATACTGTCCCTTGAGCCACCACCTCTCTTGGTACTTCCCCTGCTTATGATTTGCTCTCCCTTGCCGAAAGCCGTTAAGGCCATGTTGAAGTATGCTTGTAGCGCTCTACTCTGGAAAGTCCCATCCTCAACTTGGGTGACGGATGGCCTCTGCTAAGACATGAGATAAGACCGTTTCAGCCTAAGCCCTTAAAAGCTACGAGTGTCTCCGTTCATGTCTCAGACTATCTGGGTCATAGTCGAAGTCTGCAATCCGGACAATGGCTGCTCTGATGATATGCTCCACTTGTTCATGGTCTCTTGCACCGTTAGTATAGCAACATACTGATACCTACATTCTCCGGCCTAATGCTCCGAGACAGCTCAGTGGCTATGGAGCTGCTTTTCTCATTCCAGGAGACCGTATAGGTCATTGATAAGGCTCTGAGTGGATCCCCGTGCGTGAGATCGACGGCGTTCGAGGCTAAATGCGGAAAATTCACCAGCAACAGAGACTTGGCGGCTGCAGGGAAACACAGGCGGACCCACCATTAAAGTTCAATAATTTTGCCTTGAAATCAGCAGCCGCCCAAACATAAGCGATATGGCTATTTAAGGACGTATATGTCCCTCTGAAATTCAACTTTCTTCTCTTTTCTTCCTCAGTTTGACTTC